ATGTACACTTCCCTGATTACATCACTCACCTCCCTCATGAATCTCCTGTGTCAGCCTCCCAAGTATCTGTTATTACAGGAATGTACCACCATACCTGGCTGTAAATGTGTTTATATATTACATACTACCCATGTATTGGTGATTTGATCTTTTTTTTTACATTTTGTTCGTGAGATTATTCATGCTGGCTTATTAGTCCTGCCAGTGCTGCATGCGACGGGTTACTGCTTTGGTAGTTTATTTTCTCAGTAAATCACAAGTTACCTGTTCTTCCTGTTCGAGAACAATTGGGGTCCCCCCATTACAAATAATCCAAAGACTTTTTATGTTCGTTAATCCTTGTAATATGCATGTGAGTTTGGGGCGTATCACTAGAAGTAGAAACAATGGTTTTCATAAATATTGCCAAATTGTTTTCCTTTTTTTTGGTGGCACTGGGGTTTGAACTCAGGGCCTCACACTTGCTAGGCAGGTGCTTTTACCGCTTGAGCCACTCCACCAGCCCGCCAAATTGTTTTCCAAAGGGACTGTATGAAGTTATGTTCCCATAAGCAATGTCCAAAACGGGTTTTTGTTTTGTTTTATTTGAGACAGAGTCTCGCTGAGTAGCCCAGGTTGCCCTCACATTCTCCATTCTCCTGCCTCTACCTCAAGTGGTAGGATTACAGATGTGCCCCACCACACCCTGCTCCAGAACAGTTTTTAAGTTTACTTCTCAGCTCTAGGGTTATTTTTTCACTCAACACAGGTGGTGCAAAAACTACATCCACAGTCCTAGTGGTGCCCATAGAGCAGGGCATGAAGCCATGACCTATCAGCAGACAGAAAAGTCACTCCCTTACATTGACAGGAGAGCCCCATTGGTCCCAGCTTTGTCCTGTGGCTGCAGCTGAATGGAGGGTACAAGTCAGATGACAAAGCTGCCACACCCCTTGTGGTGCAGGGAGGACACTGAAAATTCAGGGTCTTTCATTACAGGCTACCTTTAGCATCGGGGATGTAGCATAGGGGAATGAAGCCCCTTTCTAAATCCTGGATCTGCCCATCCTGCCTACCAGCGCACGGACATCTCTGCTGAGAGATCCCAAGCTGTCCCCAAGCTGAGCTGCAGGCTATTGAGGTTCCAGACAGATGTCTCCTCACAAATGAGCTATAGTGCACAGGACAAGAGGGCTCTTGAAAGTGACCTGGTGGAACTGGCTGAACTGCTAGAAGCAAAGGACAAATGGACATTTCTGCATCCTCCTAGTGCCATGGGATCGTTGCCATCCTAAACACTGGCAGACCAAGTCAGGAATGTTCCTAGAACTTGGCTTTAGGTGTTTTTTCTTTTTTGGTGGCACTGGGGTTTGAACTCAGGGCCTCACACTTGCTAGTCAGGCGTGCTACCACTTGAGCCACTCCACCTGTTGGCTTTAGGTGTGTGTCTACAATGTACTTTATTATCACTGAAGGTTCTTCCTCATGACTGATATACATGTCACCAGGGCTGGCCTTCATGTTGCTTGAATCTCTGAGCCCTTCGTTCCTGGAAAATCTGACATATGGCTCCAGTTTCATATTTTCCACATCCTTGTGGTGGCATCAACCTTTGCTTATTTTGATGGGATCTCCAAACTACAGGAACCCCATTGTGGCTTAGGAGGGGGTTATACTGATGACTCCCTTCTCTGAGAATTCCTACATGAGGTATGGTGAGCAAATTTCCAAGGGCTTTTAAAAATAAGTTCTTTGGCAGTTGGGTTTGTAATGCTGCACACCTATAATCCTAGCTACTCAGGAGGCAGAAGCAGGAGGACTGAGTATGGGAGACTGGCCCTGGAAAAGTTAGGGAGACCCTATCATAAAACAATGCAAACAAAGGGGTTAAGAGTGTGACTCAAGAGGTAGAGCTCTTACCTAGCAAGCATGAGGCCCTGGGTTCAAATTTCAACACCAAAATAAAGGAAAAAGACGGAAAAGAAAAAGAAAAAAAATTGTTAAGAAAGTCTGAGTTCTGTTCACAGGCTGTAGAGGGTGAAGAGGGCTCCACTTACTAGTTCCCTGTGAGGCAGTCACCTTGTGGGCTCCTCAGACAATACTTTGAATCTTAGGTTGAGATCTTACCTTCTCAAACCATTTTTGGAAAAAAAAATAATGGACTGTGACTTCAGAAATGTTTCTCACTTCTTTCTCCACCCCCAGAAGAAAATGACTTTCCCTTAACCCCCCTTACATTTTTCCAGGGGTGGGTGCTGCGGACAAAATCCAGGGACTCATGTATGCCAGACAAGCACTCTGTCACTGAGCCATATCCCCAGCCCCCACCCTGGTTTTTCTTTGGTTTTTTTTGGTGAAACTGGGGTTTTGAACTCAGTGTTTCAGCCTTGCAAAGCAGGCACTCTACTGCTTGATTGATACCTCCAGTCCACTTTTTACTCTGATTATTTTAAACATGGGGTCTCAGGAACTATTTGCCTCTGCTGGCATATCTCAATCCTATCTCAGCCTCCCACGTATGTAGGATTACAGGATTGAGCCATCAGCAGTTGGCTCATCCTTTTTACCCTAGCTTGTAACAGTCCATCCACTTTTGTTGACTTCAAAAACAATTATAACCTGGTCTCATCTTTCTAGAGCCTGGATCTGCTTGTTTAACAGGAAAAATAATTCCACCAACTTCTATTTACACAGTCCAAGTAATTGTGGGTGTGTAACTTCCAACACACACACCCTTAGCACAGTAATAGAAAATGGAAAAAGGTATCTGATACTAAGCTTTAAAAAAGAAACCTATTGCCTTGGTCACTCAAGCCTGTAATCCTAGCTACTCAAGAGGGAAGACTGAGGTTTGAGGCCAGCCTGGGCAAAAAGTTCACAAGAAGTTGGGTGCTGCCAGGCACCAGTGGCTCACGTCTGTAATCCTAGCCACTCAGGAGGCAGACATTAGGAGGATCACGGTTCAAAGTCAGCCCAAGCAAAATAGTTCTGGAAGACCCTATCTTGAAAGACCCTTCTCAAAAATAGGGCTGGTGGAGTGGCTCAAGGTGAAGCCCTGAGTTCAAATCCCAATACTACCAAAAAAAAAAAAAAAAAAAAAGGCTTGGTGCTGGTAGCTCATGCATGTAATCCTACTCAGGAGGATCACAATCTTGAGGCCAGCCTAGCCAGTAGTTTGCTAGACCCTATCTCAAAATACACTCCCCAGCCCACACAAGGGTTGGTGGAGTGATCAATTGACAGAGCACCTACCTAGCTAGCATGAGGCTCTAAGTTCAAACTCCAGTACTGAAAAAAAAACCTCTTAAGACCCTATCTCAACCAATGGCTACATAGGTAAGCAAATACAGGCCAGGCATAAAGTGAAACATATCTCAAAAATCACCAACAGGACTAGAGGAGTGGCTCTAGTGGTAGAGTGCCAGCTTTGCAAGCATAAAGCCCTGAGTTCAAACCCCAATCCAAAAAAAACCAAAATGCCATTGGCAGAGTGGCTCAAATGGTAGAGAACATGCCTGTGCACATGCCTGTCAAGTGTGAAGCCAAGTTCAACTGCCAGTACCATCAAAAAAAAAAAAAAAAAAAAAAAAGGGCTGACAGTGTGGCGTAAGTGGTAGACTGCCTATCTAGCAAGTGTGAGGTCCTGAGTTCAAACTCCACTACCATCAAAAAAATGAAAAAACTCTATCATTGTTATTCTGACGCAAAGACTAAAAGACTATTATGACAACAAAAATACGGTATCAAAGAGGAAGAAAGACCACTTCTGGACCCAAGGACCTTGTTAAATGGACCTTGTTAAGGACTGACTTTTATTAACTATATTCTTTAGGGGTATGTTCAGAGTAAACCTATAAAGAAGAGTCAGAGAATGATATAGCCACAATTCAGGAGATGGTTTTCTCTGAGAAAGGGGGAAACTGAATCAACAAATTTGCTCAGTTTTTGGCAATATCTAGTTGAGAAACGGTACACTGTAGACGGAAATGAATTGACTCATTGACACTTCCATGTCATGAACTTGAGCAAATTTTAAGGATGTTTAAGACATCCACTAGGGGGTGCTAGGCGGAAAGGGATACTGTATGACTCATCCCATTGTCTGGCTGTAAAGTATCACTATGAAATATTAAGATTTGGCTTTGAAATCAGCCCATGAATATTTTTTTTTTTTGGAGGGACTGGGGATTATACCTAGTAAGGGGGCACTCTTTACTATTTGAGCTGTCCCCAGACCTAGGAAACGTACACAAAATGGCCCAAAATTGTCACCTGGAATATTAAGTGGGTGTAGGGAGAACATGTCAGAAGTGTAAGCTATCTTTACAAAACAATGCATCAAAACATTAAATGCATATACTTTTTACAACAAGAATTTCAGTATAGCAGAATAAAACGGAGGAGGGGGATGGAAAACATTCCCGATTCCCAACGCAAGAAATGGGAGTAAAAGAGACTAAAATGTATATACTGTTCACTCTGAAAATTGTACACCTCCAAACATCCTATAACCCAACTTCACATAGGGGAAATAAGATGTCAGCACAGACAGCATGACTACAAACCTCACTACAGATGTGGCTGAAATGGTAGAGTACCTGCCTAGGAGTTCAAACTCTAGCACACACACACACACACACAAAGGACATTGTTGGCTCACTGTCTGTAATCCTAAACACTCAGAGGAGGCAGAGATCAGGTTAGTTTGAAGCCAGCTCAGGGTATAGTTCCAGACCCTACATACCTAACATAAAACAGGGATGATGGGGTGACTCATGCAGTGGAAGTGCCTTGCTTCCAAAAAACAAAACAAAGAAACCTAAATTGTGTCTCCCAGATGCTGAGTAAAATTTACAGGATGTTCCTCCTCTGTCAACATACATTAATACATGCTGAGTGTGTACCTTACATTTCCACTGGTTCACCAAAAGGTTAATTAGGTGACTGTGTTAACAGTTTTACCATCACTGAAAACTTCAAACCCTTATGAATAACAGGAAGTACGATGCCATTATTTGCTTTAAAATATTTATTGGAGTATTTTTGATAAAATAAGGTCCATGTATAAAAAAACAAAATACAAGTAAACGGTTGTTTTTTTAGATAGAAGGACATCACACCCTGCTAATGTTGTGTACTTGGTACATATTTCAAATTTCTAGCCAGTGTTTTGCTTAAGTAGACAGCTGCTCACACAGGTTAATACAGGAAAAGAGAAAGTTCCCAGGATCTGACAGGTCATTCTTGATGTCAGCAAAATCCTGGAATTTAATAAAAGGAGCATGTATCAGAACCATGCTGGCAACAGTACAAATAGTAAGTTGAGTGGACAGGGTAGGTGCCACACAAGGTGGAGAAGCATGAGGAGTGGATCAGGTGGTTTCAAAGATCCTCAGAGAAAAGCTCAGAGACTCTAGTCCAACCAGGTCATCATTACCACTCAATTACCACACAAATATGAAGACTCACCCTGGCAACCTAGGAGAAACGGCTCACTCTCTTACCAGCTTGATTTAAAGTACAGGAATCACTACCTAGGTATAAAGCCACGAACAGTCTTCCAAGGAGTACATTCCACCCCTTCAGCTTTCAGTCCTCAGGTTAGCACAGAATTTCCCTGAAGGGGCACCACCTGGAGTGTTCCCACAGCTCTCATTCTGGAAGGATGAAAACACAACAATTAACAGGGGCTGGGGAAGGAGAGCCCCTACTTAGATAGATGAGGACCTGCCAAGCATACACAAACAAAAAGCAATGTTTTTATGGCCCTTCCCAGAGATCCAGGTACCAAGTTCCCTAAATGAGTCAGAATTTGTGCTTGACATCAGGACCAACGTCAGAGACTCTAGTCTGTGAAATCATCATTCCCAATTTAGGGAGACCTGGATCAAGGAAAACCGTTCTGGGAAGAGACCTATTACAGTCAAAGTCAACAAACCCAGTATATAAGGATGCCACAAATGAGAAGTCCAGGGAAAGTTTGAAAGGACAAGAGCAGAAAATAAATGTAGAACTGTTGTAAATAGCTCGTTGTGCCCCCATACGTGCTATTAAAATTACAGTTGAAGTTTAAGTCAAGTCGCTTACCAATAAACAGAGAATCCCAACAAAACAAAGGACATGGTTTTAAAAAGCGGAAAAACAGGTGATAACGTCCAATGTTAGACAGGTTGGGAAGATAATTGCTCGAGGCACGTGGAGGGCTGTCGCACCTAATACTAACCTTCATTCAAGAACACACCAGTGGACGTCTCAAACCGCTAAATGGATAAATGAGACACGGAATTAGAAAGGGTTACGGGTCACCTACTTTCCTGAGCCCAGGTGCTACTTCTGACCTAAGGGGCTTCAGCGCGCTGCGGTGATGGCGTCAGCGAGACACTCGGAGTCACCAATTGTCATCATCACCCCGTTCTCTCCCCCGCCCAAAAGAAACGGCTGTCCACTCCCAATCTTGCCATCACGTGCACTGTGCACTTACCACTGCGGTAGTACTGCAGCCTCGCTTGCGAGGATGAGGAACCTAGGAAGAAACCAATGAGTCGGCAGAGGCCGGGAGAGCGCCAATCAACTGCCCCGTACCCGGGCTGGGTCAGTTCCAAGAGGTGTCGTCAGGCCGACATCAGAAACTCTAGTCTATAATGGCAATTCATCCTGCTCAGCCCTACACAGTCCCTTCCCGCCGCGGGGCCCGCCAGTACCTGCACGTGGGCCGCTGCATGAAGGCGGGCCTAGCGCCTTTTCCTTGCTCCGCAGCCATGTCGGCAGCAAACGCCTCGCAGACACCCGACAGACCATAACCATCACCAAGGACCTCACCACACAAAGAGAAACACCTTCCCCCGGCCGGAGCTATTTATAGCCGGGCCGGGTCGGGGCCTGACGGGCATGGCTGTCTTCTTATATGCCTGATTTGATAACAGACATTTTCCCAATCTAAATGGGAATAAAACAAAGTGAAGGAAAGGCCTTGAAAGTATGTTTCATAGTCCCCTGGGCAAATAGTCGGGTTTTTTTGTGAACTTTAATAAACAAAGAACCCAATTTGACCTAGCTAATCAGGCGAGAGAAAGGCCCCGCGCGCGAGATCTACGCTCTTGCTTAAGCAGGTTTGGCTTGCTCCAGTCGCATCTGCACGGGTTAGTAACTCTAGGGCGGTCTTTCGACTTAACTCCCCGGAGTTTAGGTCCAGCTCATCCCCAAGGGACTCACTCCGCTCTCTCCAACCAGCGAGTCTAAATAAGTACCCTGGCCCCTGCTCCACAGAGGGCGCAGACACATTAGCTTATTGTTATTTTTAAATCTTGAGTAAGAGTTAATATTCTAAAGATCACTCGTAACACGGCCAAGGATGAATAATGAAAACGAAGAAAAACATACAATTGCTGAAATCTAAGAATATTTTCTTTGGAAAAAAATTCCAACAAGGTTATCATTAATATCTAAAACCAAAGACAAAAACAATTGTTCTTTGATTCACTAGTAATTTAAATAAAACTGCAGCTCTTCAAAAGCAACTCTGAATGAATTTTTTTAAATGAGCTCTTCTAAATCTCTGATTTTTTTTTGCGGTACTGGGGCTTGAATTCAGGGCCTACACCTTGAGCCACTCCAGCCCTTTTTGGTGATGGGGTTTTTTGAGCTAGGTTCTTGATGACTATTTGCCCGGGGTGGCTTCTAACCGATATCCTCCTGATCTCTACCTAGCTAGGATTACAGGCATGACCCACCAGCACCTGCCTTCAGTTCTTTCATCACAATAATTTTAAAATTTTGTTTCTAAAAATATTCGTATGACAGAAAATGAGTGATAATTTTTGGGAAGCACTTCAAGTATTGACTCAAGTAGCTTACCACAGTTAATGGACAAGCTAGGGATACTGGTGATTTTTTTTTCATTGTAATTATTTATGCTCCAATTTTTAGTTATTCCTTCATATTTTATGAAAATGATATCAAATTTAATGTGCCAAATTTAAAACTTTTCACGAATACCATTTCGTATGTCTTTTTTTGTTTTTGTTTTCTGTGGTACTGGGGTTTGAACTCAGGGCCTATACCTTGAGTTACACCACCATGTTTGTGATGGGTTTTTTCAAGATAGGGTCTTGTTTGCCCAGGCTGGCTTTAAACTTGCAGTCCAACAGATTTCTGTCCCCTGAGTAGCTAGGATTACAGGTGTAAGCCTCCTGAGCCTTCCTCAGCGTGTTTTTTTTTTTTTAAACAGCTTAAGAGGTAGTGATCATACAGTAAACTGACATATTTAAAATACAGTTTGATAACTTTTTTTCCATCTATATAGTTTGCTAATGTTAAGTATATTGGCATTGTGCAAAAGTTCTAGAGCCTTTTCCTCTTCCAAAAAGGAAATGCTATGCCTTTAAACAATTACTCCCTATTCCCCCTTCACATCCTTTTTATAAGCAGTGCATGGTCTGAAAATTGGACCAAAGCTGGTTAAGTGTTCAGTACCCTCTAAATAGTGCTTCATGTCACAGGAAGTTTGAAGTAAACTCAATGGGGTGGGGTGGCAACAGCCAGGCCCTATTCTCCCTTCTTTAGTTTTACCTCCCTCAGGATTATTCCTTAGGCATTTGCTCTTGGTCCTTAATCCACCAGTGCATCAGTCCAAATTCCACCATCCTGGTCTCTTTCCTTACCCTCATTTGTAACTGCAGATAATGTTTGGTGGTGGGTGTTGGCATCTGTTTCTTCATCTTGTGAGAAAGCCACATATAGCAAGATGATTTGGGGATTTCAAATCATATGAAATCAATTTCCTTTTTGAGTCACATACAGTGGGCATAAGAGCAAAAGTTGGTCCAGACAGGCCTGTAATCCCAGCACCAGGGAGGCTGAGGCAGTAAGATTGCCTGTTTGAGGACAGCCTGGGCCATATAGCTAAACCCTGTCTCAAAAGAAGTTAATACGTAAATATATTGTTGTGGAAAACGGCGAGGGAAACATAGTCACCGAGACCACTTTGCAGGAAACAGGAATTTTATTATGCTAGCAGACTCCAGAGATAAATTCTCAAAGCCCTGATCCAGATCAGAGTCAGGAGATGAGTTATATCCCCCCAAGTGGTTTATGTAACCAGGGGGGTTTTGCAGTAGATGGTTCACAGGTGGTCAGAAAGACAAGCCAGTTACAGAGAAACAAGATGGTTACAGAGTTTCCCCCAACACCCCTTACAGTCTGTGGTCACAGTCACAGGAAACCTTGCAGAGCCTAGCTGGAGGTCTGTGACACTTTTGGGCTTGCAGAAGGTTGCTTCCCCCCAGAGTAGGGAATTCAAGGTGAATTCTAGACACACAGTAAATCCCAGAAAAATAGCCATGTTGGCTCCAACAATGTAAGTAAAAAATTTGAGCTGGGTGCCGGTGGCTCATGTCTGTAATCTTAGCTTCTCAGGAGGCAGAGATCAGGAGGATAGTGCTTTGAAGCCAGCCTGGGGAAATAGTTCTGCAAGACCCTATCTGCAAAATATCCATCACAAAAAAGGACTGGGAGTGTCTCAAAGGCATAGGCCCTGAGTTCAAACCCCAGTACTGCAAAAAAAAAAAAAAAATTAAAATTTGAAAGGCCATGTACATGCAAGAAATATATTGCTTTTTACTGTATCCCCCTGCAATTATTTTATCATCCCTCCCTTCCCTGAAGGTTTCAGGCTTCCATCAAAAGATCTCTTCCAGCAGGAGCTGGTGGCTCATGCTGGTAATCCTAACTACTGGGGAGGCTGAGATCAGGAGGAGCACAATTCAAGGCCAGTCCTGGCAAATAGCTCCAGAATAACCAGAACTGGACTGATGGAGTGATTCAAGTGGTAGCAGGCCTGCCTAGCAAGTGTGAGACCCTGAGTTCAAAGCCCAGCAATGTCAAAATAAAATAAGCAGACTAAAACGGACTGGAGGCATTGTGGCTTAAGCCACAGAGTGCCTGTTTTGCAAGCATAAACCCAAGGTTCAAACCCCAGTCTCATCAAAAAACAAAAAAACCCCATCACATCTCTTCTAGGACCCATCCTGTAATCCCAACTATGGAGGAGGCAGCAATCAGGAGTAAGACATCTCAATCAGCAAACCCCGCAAGCACAAATAAGGAAGCATAAGTAGGAGGATCTTGAGCAAAAACAAATACTCTACCTGAAAAATAACTAAAGCAAAACCCAGCAGGAGTGTGTGGCTCAAGTGGTAGAGTGCCTGCCTAGCAAAGAAGCTCTGAATTAAAAATCTAGGTACAGAATAAAAAAAAAAATCTAAGAATCATGGTAGTCACCTGTTTGATACATTTTTCAGCTTCTAGGGCTGAAGCTGCACCTAGGATGACGTTGCAATGACTCAAATTGCAAACTGTGTAAGTGTACAAGTAGGTAATCACTGCTTATACTGATTATTGCTCCCACCACCTTGATCTGTGCCTAGGATTACAGAGTCACAGGCACCTCACTTACCTTTTTTGTTTTTTTCCCTAGTAACTTTCAAAATTTTTTTTTTTTAAGCAATACTTGCACATGCTTGGCAGATGCTCTAACACTACTAGCCCTATAGGTAGGTATTGTGAGGCTTGATTTTGGGAAGGAAGGTGATCAGAATTCTCTCACTAGAAGTGTTACGAACACCTAACAACTACAGCATGAAGAACCCACAGAGAAGGTCTTGGATGGAAGGCCCATTATCTTGATCTTCCCAGCATTATGCTGTGCAGGTTTCCTTTTTTCTCATAATAAATTTACTATTATGTTACATTGCTAGTGTAAAGCCAGGCATGCTGGTTCCATGCCTGTAATCCCAGGATTTGGGAGGCTGAGGAAGGAGGATCTCCAGTTCATAGTAAAGACATATGAACATAGTGAAGACCCTGTCTCAAAAACAAAAACACCTTAAACTTAGAAGCAGACAGGAATAAGTAAAACAAAACACCAGGAGGTCCAGACAGTGAGGAATAACTGGCTCCCAAACCATCACTTCTTTTCCTAGACTCAGCAGAAGTGACCAGCTCCATACGCTCAACTATGAAAAATCTTTAAAATGCCTGAGAATGGAGGGATGAAAATTTACCAGGTGACAGAAAACCTGGCACAGCCCATCACATCATGCTGCCAGGCCCCTAAACTCTCAGTATCTCACTCCACACGGGGACTTGGATCTGAAAATGTCTACTTCACATTTCTGCTCAAGATAATCTTTAAAAAGTAGAGCCATTCAGATGTTTAACAGGAAGTAATCAAAGCCGAGAGGTTAAATAATTTGTGTTTGGTTACCCAGTTAGGATATAGAGAGCCAGAGTGCAAATCTGTATCTCATGTTTGCTGTTTTGCCCCTCCCCACAAAACACTTATACAGCAAACAAAACAAACTTCTCTGAGACACATCTCAACCTTACAAATGGGTTGAGATGCAATTTTTGTCTACACACTTACAACCCACATTTTAAATTCTAACAAAAAACCAAGAATCATGACTCCTAATATGCACTTCTCCTTGGAGGGACTGCCCCTTCCTAGTCACCACAGATCTATGGAATTTACAAATACCAAGATTCCAGTAAGGCTAACCAAATAAAAAGAGATGGAATACATTTTTAATATTTTATTTTGCATATGTAAGTTATAAAAACAAAAGTTCTGGCTTCGTAGTGTTGCAAAGCAAAAAATCGTACACAGGGTGGCAGTGTTCATTTCTTGCAGTATCAACTTAATAGAAAACAACTCAGTTACACAACAAAAACTTAAAACAAATCAGCCGTTACCATCAGGTTACAATTTAACTTCAAAATGAACTCAAGGAGTAGAGGATTAATATTAGGTAACATGTAGGGCAACAACAAGATCCTGGA